CCTCATAATTGTATTTTGGCTCCCAGTACTTTCTAGCCAGTCCTTGTGGTGATTGGAGGATTTTACTTTGATTGCAATACCCCATGCAGTCGCTCACATGTATGCTATTAGAAGAAATAAAACATTTCCTGCAGAAATGTGATACGGTTTTATTCTGTTTTGTGCAGGATTTAAAACAGTGTGTGATGTGCAAATAAATGTCATTGACATCAATGATCAGATTCCCATCTTTGAAAAATCAGATGTAAGTATTTCTAATGTTTTTGATGTTACTAACCAAACTATAACTAAACATTTGGGCCTGATCCATGGTCTGTTGAAGGGACAATGCCAAAAATTTAGTCTCCAAAGTTAGGTTTTGTAAATGGGGGCGGAAAAATAAGACTTTGCAAAAATTAATTAAAATGGCTGAAAACTCCCCCCCCCGTGTATTGTATTTAAATTTTGCCCTGCTCCCATCCCAAATATAATTTAAGTTAGATGTGTCCCAATAAGTGAAATTTACTGCTAGCATTGTTCAGTTCTAATTATCTAAAATGTTAGCAGTAAAAAGTAATCTTTAAATAATTTTAATATAAATCCACATTTCTAACAGTGTCCTTTCTACAAGGAGAAGGGCTTTTCAATAAAAAGAGTTTTTGAAAAAATATTGCAATGAAATATGTGGGGCAGATTAAATAGTTGGACAAAATCTACCATCAGTTACATCTAGGTTGCCTCACTAGCTGACTTCTATGGATTTTATTTATTTAAATGTAATAATGTTTTGCCATTTTCTTCCTGAAATAATAATAGCAATCTGTGCTGTATGATCACACTTATACAATCAGCTTAAAAAAGGATAAGTGTTTGAAAATTAAAAAAGGCTAGCCCCATATGATTACTTACCATGTAAACTAACTGAAGAGATAAGGAAAAAAACATTTTGTTGGCATGTGTCCAGCGTACCTTTTGTTTGAGAGTATATTTAAAAAGGTCTGTGAGCTGAGAAATTCAATAGAAATTTTTATTAGAGGATTAACAGAGGATGACATTAAGAAATCATTTAAACTCATGGTTATTAAAGGATCTAACAGTGAAAGCCACTCCATTCACATGATGTCCAAGTCTTTGGGATCTAAGTAAAGGAGTCATTTGGGAGGTAAAATGGAGCCTGCATAACTCGGGGTTTAACCTGTCCTGCCACCTTTCTTTTGGGCTGATTTAGCAATTGCTGCCCCTCCTTGCCACTTTCAAAGGTACTGGGGCTATTTGATTGGTATAACTCAGCTTTCTGAGTTTGCAACCAGATATTCACAGAAATTAGAAGAGTGGATGGTCTTTTGGCACTGGACTGGCTCTGCCACAAACTGCCCCTGTGACATTTGTGACTCTTGTATACTATGTGCCCAAAGAACTGAGGCACCTAACTGATGTTGTAGGTGCCTGGGTCCAAAATTCAGATTCTCTGCTGTTCAGCTTCCACTTCCTCCTGGAGGTGTCTAATATACCCAGGTGCTGAAGTGTTTATCAGCAAAGTTCCAGGTGTATAAGCAGTTGCTGTTGAATATACCCAGAACCTAAGTCTTGATAGTGCCAGACATAGTTTCATAGTTGGTAGGGTCGGAAGGGACCTGAGCACATCATCAAGTCCGACCCCCTGCCATGGCAGGAAAGAGTACTGGGGTCAAACAACCCCAGCAAGGCGATTGTCTGGCCTTGTCTTAAAGACCCCCAGGGTAGGAGCCAGCACCACTTCTCTTGGAAGTTGGTTCCAGATCCTAGCCGCCCTGACCGTGAAGTAGCACCTCCTGATGTCTAGTCTGAATCTACCCTCTGCCAGCTTGTGACTG